TCAACGAAAAACAAACGATAAATTTTTTGTCAACTTGTTGATTTTGTTTTATTACTTTTTCGAATTTACAAATTACTAGCTTTCGCCCCCAACTCCGTCCGCGTGGTATTAAAAAAAACAGAACTGAGTAGCCTATGTGTTCTTCCAGACTGTCCTCTACATCTATGCCAAATTTCATCAAAATCCATTCAGCCGTTTAGGCTACAAACTCTAACAAACATCCATCCATCCAGCTTAACTTTCGCATTTATTATATATGTATAAGTATGATTAAGTGCAACAAATAAAAAAGTTAAGTTAAAGAACTTTTAAATACCCTTAGAACTTCCTAAAATAACAGTAGGTACATTTTTGGCAGTACATAATAAATAACTGTAAACTTATTCTAGTGTTGGTTGATATCATCAATCAGGGCATGTAATAAAACCCTACGTTTTTATCGTGCGAAAATGAAAATTACAAATCCCTAGACGCGACGTCGACACGAACGAAATTGTTCTGTGCGACTTTCTCACATTCAAATCGTAGTTGTGTTTATGGGGGCGTCGGTACACTTGAATCTATACGTCTCAGGGGAATGCACTTGCGCGGGGCTAAATGAAAAATAATTGCGTGGGATCACAAGCTATGACAACACTTATGCTCAAATAGATAGTAATACTATATCAGATATAAAAAATTAAGACAATTTTCACATTAAATCTGTCCATTATAGGAACACGTTTCTATTCTAAAGGTAAGAACAGACTAATAAACATGCAAAAAACCATAATCATTACATACATCAAAACAAATATTTCGTCGGAATTTTCAATTTCTCAAATTACTCTATTCTTTAATTACAAATTCAAAGTTAAATTCCTTTTACCTATCCGTTACTTTTTTTCCATACAAAACAATAGCTAAATTGATCCTAATGTAATTGCTCCTTCATCATCGAAGCGTCTACGACGTCCTCTACGCGTAGCCGTAGCCCTCTACGAAGTCTCGCCACTTTTTAATCAATTTAAGTGCTTCCTACGATTTGTGTTACTTCTTAATGGCACATATCTAAAGAATGAGATTTCATTTGAAATTTATAGAGTGTTAGTGCATAAATTATAGTAGCGGCTTTGAGTTTTTTTTACTAATTATGATAATTATGTTCTATGGAACAGAATTTTATTTAGGTTATCAATATTAATATTTTTTCGTATCACCTTAAACACCAACTACTGAAGCACTCAAAACAGGATTAAGTTTACGGAATACAACGGCTTTTAAATTTATTAAACAGCACAGATTTTTATTTAGACCTGAATTTGTAACCCCGATACATAAAATGTGTGATGAAAATGCGTGTGTTCAAGATTAACTTTAAATCACTTGTGTGTGCATTTTGTGTACGAATGTAAATAAGATATCATGTAATAGCAGTTTTTACATTCAATCAATAGACAGTCATAATTGTGTGAGAAAATACAAACGATGTTAATCGATTGTACACGGAATATTATCGTTTGATCTTCGGACAGTAGATACTATTGCGTCCCGTGGGAGTCGCGGGACACGGTGCGAGCGCGCAATCGAGCGTCCTCCTGACATAGCCCCCGTACACTCTAACACTGGTACTAAATCTATTCGCGCCATATCAAATGTCACGCCCTTCGCTACGATTAGTCGTGCAGATTAAACGTTGACGTGAGAATTGTATCTGACAAACTTCTACAGCTCTATTGGTACTGACTCATCCATATGACTTTCCAACAAGTAAGAAATAATTGAAGAATCAAGAATGCGCAATACAGTACAGTTAATAAAAGAATATTACCTTGAATTTCTTTACATTATTCTATCAATGATCAAACAAATTTAGAATGTAATAAGATACAATCGTAAAAAAACTATTTTGAACGATATTGCGAAATTACGAATCAAATTAATAACAATAAACACCTCAAGTCGTGAAGCTAAACAAACAAATTATAAGATTACAACATAAATAAGAGCAATACAGTAACAAAAGCAAATGTTATCCTCTGAATGGAGTTCAAGCAGCAGATAATTGCGGCAAGTGCGATCAGACGTGCGCGCCGGCGGGAGCGTGCGCGCCACGCGCCGACACGCGGCACGCACCTGCGTCAATGTACCATGAGGGGATACTAGGAAACATTTATATCGATGGAGAAACGCATCAGAATATATCTGATTATTTAGCTATTATGTAAGAATATGAAAAGGAAAGATTTTATTGTTTGTTCAGTTTAAAATAAAAACCTACAAATTGATTTTCAATATTGTTTCGCCGTAAAGGTCTTCTATAAGCTAAATATGTTCAGATACTTTGATATGATTGGACGTAACTAATTTCTCATTAAAATGGGTTGCATTTGATAAACGAAACATTTTTTTTTATATTGATGCTGTGTTTGAACCATATTGAAATAAGATGATAGTGTCAATTTTACTTTCTATTTACATTGACTAATATTCCCAAGACAGGCTGGGTTTAATTACGTTACAAAATGTTTGAACAATTTAAATGCAGGCAACAATGATTGTGATATAACTGACGTTTCCCCAGCGGTTGGTGAACTGAAGATCTTAGATCGGAATTGGATTGTATTTTACGGATGCATCCCCGATGACCGTTTTGTCAATCTTAATTTCATGACTATTGGATACATGAGTCATATTACAGACATTTTATTCCTTGGACACCACGACGATTAATCTATGAGTACATAAATCATGAATTTAATTTTTAGAAGTCATAATTTCCGTAATTTGTTTCATTCCATATTTTGGATGAAGATTATGGACAACTTCAGCAAACCCAGCTCACTGAAGAAACACAGCAACTAATTTAAGGACTTTAATTTATAGCTGTTTGAGAAACTATATTGATTTCTCAATTAATCGGACAAAGTATAAGTCGTTGCTACATGTAAGACAATAACATTTCCTTTTATAGCTCTCTAATCTCTTCCGGCAGTCTGGTATAACAATAAAACCAAAATCGTGTGCGATTATATAGAATTTATTGAGTCGGACGGCGGCAGCGCGCGTGGCTTGATGGATTAAATTGCCTTGTCCCTATGACAACGTGGCCACGGAAAAAATACGCTCGCTACAAAACAGCTGGTCATTTTTCAAGTGATTCCTTTTGCTCTGCTATGCAGGTGCCACTGTGAGCTAGGCGAGAAAATTGTTTGACATTTTGCACTCTTGTTCAGCTGTTCCATTTGGGTACCAATTATTGGAGTATTTTTGTATTGGAATATTGTACTGTGTGGCTATTTTAAAATGTACTTATCTCACGAGATGATGCCGTATTTTGGATTCCTCCAAGTATTTTTAAGGAGATTTTTATTAGAGCAATTATTGACAGAATAATTAAAATCAATTGTTAATCAAAGGGCTATGAAGTTTTTCTATAGCTATTTGGAAACTACAGATGGTATCTTCTCAGTAACTATAGAATCTGTCATTCAAATTGACAACTTTATTTCTTTACGGTTGCGAAGACTTTTATTATAAAGTGTAATACAGAATTAACTACAAAGTAACAAAATGTTTTGCAAGTAGATAACGAATTGTTTGGGAAAACGTGACGTAATTACCTACATTCTCGCGAAATTTACCCCTAATAAAATATGCATTAATATTGAAAGCTAAAACACCGCACGCAATATTCCGACGTTACAATTAAAAAACAACAAAATAAATACAACATTTACCGCGGGCTTTTGCCCAATTTTAATTGTAATATGTGAATTCGCATTTTGCAGGCGAGTTTTAATTATCGTAGTCGCGCGCGCCTGAGTTACGCGACCGCCCCTGATATTTATGGCGGCCCGAGTTCCGATACTTTTTAATGTAATGAGAGCTCGTTGCCGCTCGCTTTCGAGGCTCTTGTTTAACAATTTATATACATTTACCATGAGTTTTCACTGCCGATACTATTGTGAACACACATTCACATCTCTATATTTTGCATGACAATGAAAGAGATGGCACATATATTGTGCACTTATGTTTTGACTATGGATTTGTTTATATTGTACCTACAAGTATACATTATCCCTTATATTAAACTTGTCTATTTTTTGTATTTTATATAGGTGATATATGACAAAAATTTTACATGTTAAGTTGTCAGTCATAAAGATTTTCGTTGTAAAGCAATTAAATGTCATCGTAAATAAATTGACTACAGAAACTTCATGTTTTTTATTTCATCCCAACGTTAAGAATTGCTTATAATCACACAACACGTGTAGTGTTCCAATGCAAAAGTCAATACTTTACAGCTAGAAAGTATCTCGAAGGTCCACAGGGGAAATACCAATTACCAGAATAAATTTATCAAATCTTGAACATAAGAGAAATATAAAAATCATGTTGTGCTATACGATTTTAATAATTCAAAAGTCGCGACAAACTTTGTTGATACGAAATGGGAATTCGTTGTAACCGCGGTAACAACGACGGCTCTCATCTTCGAGAATATTAAATTAGTGACATCTAGTGACGGCGACTCACTTGCGAGTTTTATACGTGATCGGTTGCCGCTCCACCCTGGTACTCCGCCCCAGTATCATTAAACATTCACCTGCACACGTCGAGCCAGACTCATATAAAAATGAACACTTATTAACCAACAACCGTTACTGTTCGCAGATACACGTCAACCACCGACGAACACAAGACGTTAATTGGAATAGAAATATTCAGCATGATTGTAATACCTTCAGTCCTATTTTAGCGCTATATTCAATGTTGCTACATATTTTTATTAACTTTTACGTAACTTACTCCTCTAACTATCAAAAAAAATTTGTAAAATAAAATTTATTTATTAAAAAAAAATTAAATTCCATAACGATTTTAAGTATTAATTTTATGCATGTCTTTATTTATACAAAACCTTAAGCAACTGAAGGCATTACATAATTATACAATAACACAATAAGAAAATGACTACTACAGTAATAAAATATTTTGTACTTTCAACATACCTGTACCCTAGCTTCTGTGAGGTCTATCTTCATGGCGATCTCCTCGCGCGTGTAGATGTCAGGGTAATGGGTCTCCTGGAACGCTCGCTCCAATTCCTTGAGCTGCGCGGACGTGAACGTTGTACGGATGCGACGTTGCTTGCGCTTCTCTGTTAATGAGCCCTCATTGCCGCCGTACATCTTGTATGGAAGACCAGCTGGAAAACAATGCTTACGTCAGTATAAAGTAAACAAAGACCTAATCCCGCTTTAGTCTTTAATTGAACACTGCAAGAGTCGCTTATTGAAGGTTTTTAATACTAAATCATTGGGAAGACATTTTCGATTCTGAATTCTATATTCCGGTGTAATCCTCGCTAATTTTATAAAGAGAAAAGGTTTGTATTTTTGTTTGAATTGAAATAACTCAATTGGAAAAACTATTGGGCCGATTTTAAAAATTCATTCACTATTAAAAATCTACATTATCAGTTCGTAACATAGGCTATGTTTTTTTACTATTTAATAATTTGCCACGAACTATGTCTAGGTCTACAGCTAGTTTATTATCATTTGATAATGTTGATCTCTCAAAACCAATCTAATTATTTAATTTTTAGTAAACTGTGCTGTCTTTAGAAGTAAATAAGTTGTTACGGGGTCACAAAAGTACACAGGGTAAAATTGTGAATGAAGTAAGACGCAGGTTGTGCGGGCGGCCATTTTTGTCTCCCCTGTAGCCCCGTAGCGTGACGCACCCTCGCCGCGCTATATACAGAGTACCAACAGCCTGCAATGAAATACATTTTATACCTACGCCTCTTTTGTTTATCTTCACGAGTAAACAAAGCCGTATTAATTAACAGTGGTACGTTCAACAATTTGAGCCTTTTACATTTTTTAATTTTACATAAACGCTTTTATTGTGGAGTACTTGAATATTAAATGTAGATTTTTTTCTAATGTTTCTAATTCCTTTCTACTATTTTTATGCATAAATATATAACATAGTGGTATTAAAAATATAGTCAATTATTGCTATAATATAAAAATCTATCAAAAAATTTTTTTCATTCAAATTATTTCACACTTTACTATATGTAATGTATAAAAATCAAATATAACCTTAGAGAAACTAGTAAGAAAATAAACCTCTTTAGTAAGAAGAATGTAATTTCTGGGAATAAAGATGAAACAAAATACGGCAGAAAAACCGTAGCGGTAGAATGTGGCGTAGAGTATCGATCGTAGCTGTGAGCTACGCCTTGCAAGTAACTCTACGTAGAAAAATGTCCTCTTTCCGTTTCACTCATTACGCGCTACGTTAGAAGATTCTATAAGTTTTTACATCTCAAATAAAACTTTTGAGTTTTTAAAGTAATTAATGCATATTGTGTAATTACAATTTTAATATTTTAATTACGACCAAGTTAATTATATTTATTTATTAAGATAGGATAAATGTGCCTAATATTGGTAATTAAACGAAAAACTATTAAATAAGTTCTTAAAGTAACAACAAATCAACATCATTTATACCTCATTCTATACATGTCTATATTATGACTGTATTTTCTTCGTAAGTTAGCAAAACGCACATTAGGAAATATCATGTCCAAAAAGCGAAAATGGACAATACTGGTGTTTCATTAGGGCCATAAGTGTTGGCCATTAGGCGAGCTTTAGAGGCATTAGACGTGCGGCCGCGCGGCCCGCTCCGGACCGCAGACCGCACTCGCAACGACAATTACCTCAAATGAACCGGAATTAAGCGAGACTCGCTTCTTGGCCACGCTGCGGTCTCATTTGCATTATTAATAGACGGGAGAGACACAGGATGGGGCCTGTGGGGAGGCAAGGGACGTGTCACTGCCCCGCCCTCCCCGCGTCCCTCGCCCCGCTTATCCCCTCTCCCCAGTACAATTTGCGGGACCTAATGAAGAGGATCTTGGCAAGATGTTTCGGTTCTTATGATGTTTAATTCGAGTTTGCAGTTCGTGGGTCAGGCGGACGACGTACTCACTGTTATTACGACGGTATAATTTTATTGTACCCTCAACTTGAGGTTATGTAACGAAGAAAAGGAAAAGAGCCCACTTTTACAACAATATTGAAATGTTTGCACTTATAGGAGTGCAAAAATTTTAACAAAGATAAATGTTAACTTCTTTTGTTTCTTTTATGGTTGATTTGCCAAGTATTAATTCAGTTTCAAATTAACTAAAACGCGATAAATTACGTCCGTAGTTTCCTTTTGAAGTCTGCATTTTTCAGCTTTAAAATTAAAGATAGAAAACTTTATTCTGTCATGTTTTTAATGTTAATTGATTTAGCAAAATGTGCAATCAAAGCACTCTATAAAACAAATATATTACCCTACAATCTCAAAGCTTTACTAACACGATGTGTAGTCGATTTAGTTGTCGTCACAGCGATAAACGGTGTATATGTGAGCCTCGTGTTGGTAAATAAGGCAGCGGCGGGAGCGACGCCGCACGTGGCGTTAATGAATCGTCAAAGGCCGATTAATTCGCAGGTGATATGATCCGTGGCCCCGCAACCCCGCACCCTCCTCCTCCCGAGCCTCCATAGCCTCACAGACTTTAATTATTCAAACGACTATACAGATGTTAAGTAATATCCGAAATTTAAAATAATTGACGATCTTTGTAACTTACATTGAAGTTAAAGGAATAAGTAATAAGGTGAATTCTACTCTACTAAGCTGAAGATAAATGTTGTTGAAGTAATAATGAAATTGGCTTCTAATATTTAACGTCAAAATTAATCGAAAAAGCACCAACTGAAAAGACAAAAATAATACACTCGGATCTTTGATTTGCTTTCACCGCAGACTCGCTTGTAGCAGAAAATCGTAGTAAATCGTTTCGCCATCCGTCCGGGTTGGGTGGGCCTCGGTTCATTTTTCTCGCGTCACGAGAAAACTTCCCCGGCATCCATAATGCAAACGTTGTCGGCGCGTCATCGCCATATTGCGTAGCTCCACAGGCAAGGGTTACGCGTAGATTAATGGACCGACGTTACATACATTGCCTTACTTCGCTGTTCATACAAGGCACCTTAAATCCCTTTTGAAATCTGGTAGATGATATAACGAATATCAGCTTATCTCGGTATACCGACAATCTTGTTAGAAATTTAATCAAGTTGTAGATTTGAGAATCAAGTAACTTGAAGCGACATTTCTTTTCTTATAATCCTCAAGCGTAAACTTCAACATAGTTACATAGGAACTATTTTTTTTTTTTTAAATTGCAAAAAACCAGCGCTTGACCACTATCCCACCTAGACCAAGGTGAAGATATGATGAAGATAATAATTGACTTCGACTTCGGATAAAAGTGTTTGTTTTCATAATGAATATAGACCACAAAGAAATTTTAGTATAAAGACAAACATAACAAAAGTTAGGTTAGTTATATAAGATGGATCACCAAACTTAAAAACTCAATACTTACAGTTAATTTTACTACCACTTGTAGACTTTAAAACTGTACCGATAACATGCTACATTGTTAGATATACTTAATGTAATAATACCTTTATTTTAGCCGCAATAAAATTGTTACAGTCGTCATACGCACAGTTTGTTCGGCGCACGGCATATAAAAAGCTTATAAGCGTAGTGCACATTGCCAATATATTTTATATTTGCAAATAAACATGTGGGTAAATTTACGTAATGGCGGCAGTAAAACACGAGCATGCCGAAGTCGAATGTACCGGCGAGCGCTACGTAGGTACTCGTAAAAGTAAGGGTAATGGAATGACACGGTTTATTGTCACTTGCATTATATTTGATTTAATTTAACTTATACACGATTTTTACCTCAATGTTTTTAAAAATGTTGTGGTCTTGCCCTAATACGACTGAAATCCAAATACATTTCGATACAGCTACAAAAATAAAAAGTCATAAGTGCAATTGTTGACTCATGAATTAGGTCGACTACTACGACTAAAAAACCACCACATTAACACAGAGAGTTCTCTATTGTATTAGTTATTTACGTAATATTATTTAAATCCCTTTAAGAAATTAAGTATGAAAGGTAATATTAAGTTTGGTTGCATGTATCTATCTATTATCTTTACAATTGATTTAATGTACATATCTACCCCAATTTTCTCAGTTAAAGTATTGTTTCAATAACTAATTGTGTATGTGAAAACTTGCCAAAAACCTCTTCTATTATATCCAATAATACAAAAAGATAGAACATCGAAAAATAAAACATAAAACGTAAAATATTTCAACACATTTCGTTCAGACATCGAAACGATTGTAGGTATTTTGAAGAAAAAATGAATAAGCGTGAATTCGAGGATCCGATGTGTAGTTGTAACATTGTAGAAGTTACGATGGCTCACGGCGCTGTTCGACTGTAAGATATTACCTTTTTTATGGCGCACTCCACCATACTACACTTTACTGGGACAGAATAGATCACATGATGCGATAAAATATTGCCCTTCGGTCCTCGCAACAAATCGAATTAACCCGTCCACCATCCGAAGGCGACATCAGAATAGAAATGGCGGTATTGGTTTAGGATTCGCAAACTATTTGTGTTTTCCCGCTCCGTTACGTGTCATGTACAAAATCATACGAATTCTATATGATTTTTTATTTACAATTTCTAATATCTATACCAATATTACAAAGTAGATAGATTTATATTTTTGTATGTATTGAAATAAGTCAAAAACAACTGAGCTGATTTTAAAAATACATTGATCATTAAAAAGCTACGTTGTCAGTGGGGAACATATGCTATGTTATCTAGTATTTTTTTCAATTTTACGCGGATAAAATCCCAAGAAATAGCTAGTATGAAATATATTCCATTGCCTTCTAATGATATCGACTGAAAGGAAATTATACTTCCGATTAACTTTGCCTGACAATATTTAAGTTATCTTATTACTGGCATAAATAAGAAAATTAATTCTTTTCTGCTAACTGCTTCTACCTCCGGTTGCTTACCTAGTTTATTTATAAAAAAAGACATATACTATACCTAAAAGCCTAATATGTGAGAAAAAGCAACCGGTTTGTACAACTGTAATAATTTCATATCATAGAATCAGACAAGAAAGTGTATAATAAGTTTCTCACAGCTGTAATAAATCGCAGCTCTACTTGAGAAACCGCAACGCCCGCAACTTAATCAGTTTGTCGCGAATCTCGTAACAAAACATCTTAATATCACCCAACTCTGTTATTGTTGTAATTGTACAACAATTAATACGCAAACTTGTAATTAATTTCCGAGTGATTAACGACTATAATCCTGGCTTACTCGAGATTACGTGAGCCACCGCCTCGAGAGAGTTATTGTATTGCATGAGTTGCGGGGAGAGGGATGTACTGACAGCAAAGAAGTATACATACTATGTTATCATATTATTCCTTATTACAGTAACATGTCGAAGAAAGAACATCAAGCATGAAATTATTACAAAAAAGGTAATTTAAGTAATTAAAGATTGAATTCTCTAAAACTACACTGTTTATACGCGTAAAAATAATACGTGGCAAATTTAAAAACATTTAAATGTAGTTTTCTATTTTACAATATACCATTGAAGTAGTAATAATTAACAATGAAAATGTGATTATCGATATTAGGTTTTTCTTTAAATGAATGGTCACATCACTACAATGTACTTTAGAAGTGCAAGACATAGTCGAGGTTGGGTCCTCCCCTTAAGATTCTGTAACGCCGCTGCCAATTAGAGGCGCAATCGCTCACGCGGCGAGGCTGCGCCCTCTAGCGGCGGGGCTGCGCCACCGGCGGTCTGCGCCCCCCGCTACCACTCCGCCCTCACCCGCCGGCACTCGCGACAAATGAAAAGCACTTTGGTAATTTTCTAACGAAAGGAAATAATAATTATATAAGGTTATTTGTTATCTATATTTTTTTGACCGACTTCCCAAAAGAAGGAGGTATTCAATTCGTCGATATGTTTTTTTTTTCTTACGGTTGTTACTAACGTACCAATGTTTTAGCTATTTTTGTTCTTTTTTTAACTTTTGCTTATCACTACGAGTAAATTTAATATTCAGTATTAAGATAATAACGATTTTAACCAGTCATTATAATTACATGTTCAAAAAACTGTTTTATAGCACTTATGCGCTGCGATGCTACAACGCTACGCGCCTAGTTTAGTTTATTGTCTACGACTCCTAAATTTATGAAGACATGCTACGATGCTAAAACCGTAGAAGCAATATATTCTTAAGACTTCACATATATATAGATGTAGAGGTGTTTTTTTATTTATCCTTTGTTAAGTAAATTAAACTATAATAAAATATAGATATTAAAAGACCATAACTGTTACTTAAGTAACAATTTATTGCGTTACTTTTTTTTGTAAATCAACAAATCCATCAGAGAAATGCAGTTGTTATTACCTATCGTTCTTACATTCTTATGTTCAACTAGTAATACTTGATTCTCACACAGTTATACATTTAAAAAACCCGATGTCCCACAATAATCTTTAGTTCAACATTCCGAGGAAACATGAGTATTGAATGGCGCCTCTCTCTTCCTAATTGCTCTAGCCGGTCAATCGCCAATAGAAAAGATAATTAGTTCTAACAAAAACAATACCATATGTAAGAAGACAACTCTTGTCAATTGTTATTTGATGGTAGAAATCAACATCACGTGAAAGCGTAGATAACTAGCATTAAGAAATGAACTATATCTTCGTCTTAATCTTCGCATTTGAAGATACTTAAAGTATGAAGATATCTTATGAGTAACCTATTTAAGATCACTTATAAGCGAACGTACTAGAATGCATGTCTTGCGATACTGTTGTATCGTTTTGTAAATTATTATGTACGTAACTTCTAACACTATATTGAACAGTAGCATTCTTATTAAAACACTTATAAAGTAACGTAAAATAGTTGATTTTTATAAGATGGTTATAAAACTTAGTTTTTCTTATCGTGAACAACAAAACCGAGAAAGTATTAGATATTTACTCACGTTGTAAGTTCATTGAGGGTGGGAATATGTGGTGGTTCCTGATGGCGGCATCCTGCGGGCGCGCACACTGCGGCGGCGGCGGCTGGTAGCGCATGCCCTGGTAG